TAGACTCTGAAGACAAAAGTGGAGAAGGTGAGGAACATTGCAACTGTTGCTTCCTGCTGACCTTTCTCTGCTGATCCACTTACCATTCTCAAAGACAAGCCCCTATAGGTGGCAGAGCTAATTCAGGCAGTTCCAGATGGTAAGCAGATTGGAGGAGGGTTTATTTGGGCAACACTAAGGTGAAAGTTCTCCCTGGAACTCGTCCATCCACATCTGGATGTGGCTTATCACCTTTATTCAATGGGTTGAGTTGGGACCTCCCTAGTCGGTAATATTTGAACTGGGATGTGGAGAAAGAGAGAGAAGACAAATGAAGCAGGCCAAGGGGAACAGTGTTTTGGGCAGAAGAAGCAGTGAGTGCAAAAGCCCTCAGGAGGAATTGCTTCCTGCCAGAGGAACAGAGGGAAGGCCAGCGTGACCGGGTTATATGAGTGAGGTCTGCCAGAACATGGCAGGACCTTGCAGGATAGAGTAAGGAGTTTGGATTTTATTCGAAGCTCCGGGGAAAATTACCTAGATTTCATGTGGGTGTTTTGTTGTTCCAAGTATTACACAAAATTCCAGTCCCCAAACAGGTTTCTTGCTTTCTAAGAAGTTACTTTCTACAGCCCTGAAGCCCTTGTCGATTCTGTGGGGCTGCCTGTCCACACCCATTGGGCAAGAGTGAAGATTAAGTAAAAGGCAAGCACTGAGTGTGACGCAGGATGCTAGGTAAGGGAAGAGGAAGGAACTCTGTCACTTATTTACCTTGAATTTTGATAAAAGATTTGGATTTCGAAATGGAACTGTGTATGTGGTAGAGAAGGGTAGGGGTAATAAGTGAATTTGACACTAGACAACTGCCACTTTAGAAAGTGAATTTCAAAAGGACACACCAATGCCCTTTACCACCATAAAAATTCGTGGCTCCTCTCTGCTGCTATATTATTTTATGGAGACTTCAGTTGATCTTTTTGAGGAGGAAAAAAAGATAAAGAAATATGAAAGAATTGCCTCAAAGAATGAAAACAAAATCACATTAAGCAAAATAAAATCTTAGCCTGTAAACAAACACCAAACAGCCAGTGGATAAACCAATAATTATCATTGGTAAGCATAAACAGAAGTTTGAGGACCTTTAAAACCGTAAGACATTATGAACTGTATGTGATTGGCTTTTTATAATTCTTTTTGAATTGTTGGTATTTTTAAAGTTGACCAAATAATATATGAATGCATACTTACTATAAAAGATCCAAGCCATACTGGCATACACTTTGAACTTTCCTCCCCATCTTCTCCCACAATGGTTCAAGAAGTAACCACTCTTCTATTAACAGGCTTGTATATATCTTTCTAGTCTTTTATGTCTACACATGTTAGTGTACATATACGTATGTGAACTTTAAGGAAAAAGTATAAATGGGATCACACCATACCTATTATTCCACCTTTTTCTCCACTTTGTCTTAAAAATCTTTATCAGCATGTTAATGTTTATTGTATGCTTTTTAATGGGTGCAAAGTATTCCGTTGAATTAAATTACCATAAATTATCTCACCAGTTCCCTATTAACGTAAATTTAAAACTCAGGTTTTTTGTAATCACAAACAATGCCATAAGAATCATTCTTGAATTGTTTTTTGCACATATGGAAGTATTTCCATAGGGTCAATTCTCTCTCTCTCTCTTTTTTTTTTTTTTCTTGAGACAGGGTCTTGCTCCATCACTCAGGGTGGAGTGCAGTGGCTCCACCATGGCTCACTGCAACCTCTGCCTCCTGGGTCCAAGCCATTCTCCTGCCTCAGCCTCTGGAGTAGCTGGGATTACAGGCACCTGCCACCACACCTGGCTAATTTTTGTATTTTTAGTGAAAATGGATTTCACCATGTTGGCAAAGCTGGTCTTGAACTCGTGACCTCATGTGATCCACCTCGGCTTCCCAAAGTGTGGGATTACAGGCGTAAGCCCCTGCGCCCGGCACTAAGGGTCAATTCTTAAAAGAAGATTCACTGCCATTAACTGTCAAAAGTGTAACACATTACATGTTGCACATTTAAAATTTTGATACTGTCAAATTACCTCACTGTTATTATGTCTTTATTGATTTGTATTCCTACCAGAAGAATTTAAGTGCTCACTTACTTGCAATTTTGCCAATACTGGACATCACTAACTTTTATTATTTTTGTTTATTTGGTGGGCAAAAAGGAGTATCTATTTCAATTTTTGCTTTCCTGATTACTAATTAGGGTGAGTTCCTTTAATAAATCTATCAACAATTTGTATTTCAGTTGTAAATTATCTGTTCATAGCTTTTGCTATTTAAAAATACTTTGTTGAGAAGTATAATTTTAAACACTCTATTATAACCATTAAACAATTGTCTGTCACAAATAATTTCTTGCTATCTTTCACTTAGTTTTCAGCTATGAACATTAAAGCTTTCATTGAACAGAAGTTTTTCGTCTTTACATAGCTAATGCTTTCTGGGGTCTTATGTATTGTTAGGAAAAGCATTCCAACCTAATTATATTAAATATTCTATATTTTCTGCTATTCTTTTATAGATTTTAAGTTATTTTTACCTTTTAACTCCTTAAGCTACCTGGAAGTTGCTATTATATTATCATACAAAGCTAAGATTTATTTTTTTTCAAATGAGTTCCAGTCTTATTTATTGGAAGATATATTATTTTCATAGTACACTGGAATGACTTCATGGAAATATAAATTCTTACATATGCATGGGTATGTTTGAGGAGTCTCTATTCTTTGATAATATTATATTTATAGACATTCTTTTTATTGACTTTTTCCATTTGACAATACAGTTCTAACCCATATAACATTAAAGATAGTTTTCCCAATGCCCATCCTTACCTCCATCTCTTACCTCTTTTATTTTCAGATTTTTCTTGTGCAGTTTCTCTTTCAGATGAGTGTAAGAATGTGTGTCAAATTTTATAAACAAACAAGCAAGCAAACAAACAAAACCTATAGAGATTTTGACTTGTAGTGAACTATTTTAGAACATTTGGGGATAATAAATGTCTTTACAAGATGGGCTCTTCTCATATGAGAACATGGCACGCCTTTTCCTTAGTCTGGACTCTAGAATTTTCTTCATAACATCTTAAAAATGTTTGCTAAATTCATTTCTGTTTTATGACTTTTTGGCTATTTTGATGTGTCTTTCTCCCATTCTTACAAGTTCTTTTGTAATAAGATAATATTATAATATAATATATTAACAAATATATAACATAATAACTGCTACTGTATAAGAAACTTGTTTCTCTATATTTGTATGTTGTCTTTTGAATGCTATATTTCAGAAAAATTCTTACCAGGTTTTTGTTCTTCATGAATTGTCCTGGATAATCTAGTTATGAAGCCATATAATCAACAAACTTGACAGTTTTGTTGTGTTTGTTTATAAATTCTATACCTTTTATTTGTGATATACTGTAAAAGTGTGAAGAGTGATGATGGTTATGGTCATCGTGGTCTTCCTTCTTACAATAATGAAAAAATTTACATTTCAATATTAAGGTTAATGTTGGGTGGGTATTTCTGTAGATACTCTTCATTATGTTAAGGTATTTTTCCTTCTATCCCCAGCTTACTTGGAATTTTTAAAAGCAAAAATCAATCTTAATAGCTTGGACATCTATTACATTGAATTTAATTTCTTTTTAATGCAGAAATTTAGTGATTTTATTTTGTTGCCTAAGGTCATGCTCTTTGACTCAAATAGATTTGAATGGACTGATTTCAATAAATTATTCCTACCGGGTACAGTGACTCAGGCCTGTAATCCCAGCACTTTGGGAGGCCGAGGTGGGTGGATCACAAGGTCAGGAGATCGAGACCATCCTGGCTAACACGGTGAAACCCCATCTCTACTAAAAATACAAAAAAAAATGAGCCGGAGCCGGGAGTGGTGGCGGGCACCTGTAGTCCCAGCTACTCGGGAGGCTGAGTCAGGAGAATGGCGTGAACCCGGGAGGTGGAGCTTGCAGTGAGCCGAGGTCGCGCCCCTTTACCCCAGCCTGGGCAACAGAGCGAGACTCCTTCTCAAAAAATAAATGAATAAATAAATAAAATAAATTATTCCTATATTCAAATAGAAACAGCCCTCTTCACTAAAGCCAATTTCTATTGGGTGTGGCTAATATAATTCATTTCATGGTTGTTATGGCAGCAAGATAAAGATATATATGCATCAGGTTAAAAATAAAACTAAATGAAAATTATCTATCTATCTCTCTATATAGACAGGTAGATTTCTATATGCCTCTATATCTTGATCTTGACATTTGAACTTGATTGGACATATTCTTAAATATTTTATTAATCAAATGACTTTAAAATAAAAATAGCTACTTTAAAAAAAAAAATAGTCCTCAAAGAAGGAAAATACTCCTGGTAATAAGTGGTCAACCAATTATATATTTCTCTTAAAGCCTTAATCTTTCTTGGAAAGGCATCTTTATATTATAGGACAATTGCCTTAGTACAGAAATGTTGTTCATTCCAGTTGAGTTAAACCCTCTCTACCTTTGTCTTAATAGGTTAATGAACAAAAGATTGTTTTGAATGAATTTTAAACAAATCCAGAATTAGGGTTCCTTTAACTATTGGTTATCCTGGTTACTTTGTGTTTCTTTTTAAAGGGATTTTTACTGTTAGGGCTTTATCTCTCCAAAAAGGTGGTAGTTGGTAGAAATTGGGGAACTCATTAGAGGGCTGACACTTTTTTTTTTTTTTTTTTAAAAAACAGAGGGATCCAATAGTCTACCATTCTTCACACTCTATATGAATAGTCTTTTCTGTTTTCTATAAGCCTGTATTTTCATTCAGTTTTATTTTTTAACCCGATTAAATCGTGTGGCATGAATGAGAACACAATATAAAGCAAAGCAATTACGACTACTGCGGTTGATGGCAGCACTGAAAATCTCAGAATCCCCCTCTCATGCCTTTTTCTTTTTCCTCTTCTTCCTTTTTTTCCCAGGACATTCAAAGGATCTTACATTTTCATGAGTACAGTTTTAAAATCATTGCATAGACCACCTCTTAAGACTCAAAACAACCCTGATGCATTCACAGAGCATTTTGTATAGATATATGGATAAGTCCACAGGAGAAGCTGCCTTTTAAATCCCACGCACATCCTGACTGCTTCCAAGAGGCCCCAGTACTACTGTGTACCTTCAGCATGGACCCTTCAACATGGAGCCGTCCCTGCCATATGCCCAACATGCTCAAGGTACTCCCCCTAAACCTGAAATAAAGAAGCAAATGGAATTTTTAAAAATGCAGTTAATGATGTTTCTACGTGATAAGTGCACCAAATGAATGTGTCTACTTTTACATCTATAAGAATGTTGACATTATCTTACTGAGTTATTTCATGAAACACTGATCTAGATAATCTATTTAAAGCCCAAATTGAATTTAGTGGCTTAATCCCTTGAATGATATTGCAATCTACCCATAGCTTCATGATTTGATTGAATTAAACTTGAATAAATCAGAAAATTGTTTCCTTGCACTTGTATTAAAAACATAATAGATTTGATGTATTACTAGCTATTATTTATATTAGGTTTAAAATTTTTCTTTGTGCTGTTTTAAATATGCATGTCACAACTCTAAGCCAATATTTGGCTTATATCACACTAAGACTTCTAACACAGGGTCTTTATGACCTTTGTTTCTGTTATTTTCCTTTCCTGAGCTGCCTGTTTTTCAGGGCTTGTCCTAGTTACAGATTTTTCATTTATCATTTTCTGAAGAAGGCTATTACTCTCTGGGGAGTAGTGTTCATAATCCCAGTGATCCACACTGAGTTGGATGAGGACGTCTGTCTACCCAACTCCAGCACTTGAATAAGGTGATACATAGGACAGAGCAGTTTTCACAGTCAGTGGATCCTCATATATGAGAGTCACTTTACTAAATTAAATTTACCTTATATAGATTCAAAGGCACAACATTCAAATATTGTCTATGTGACTTTAACCCATCTCCTACATCAGTCCAGAGACCCGAATAAAAACTTCCCTTCCAAATGAAGGCAAAAGGCCAAAATAAAACAAATTAGCAAACCAAAACAAAACAAAATCCTATGATGTTACAGGAAGCCAAATACAATCTTCTTGTGCAAATAAGGGCAAACTGCAAAAATAAAACAAACAAAAACTCAACAACTATCTTAAGATCAGGAAGGCATAGAGGAAGTCTCATTCTTTAAGCAACCAGTTACTCTTCTTTTGTGTCTTACAATAATCCAGAAATTTCAGACATTGGCTCTGATGATGATTTTCAAACACATCTTGATTTTCAATGGTAAGAAATTCACACGTATTGTAGCCTTTAGATTTCTCCAGGGTGAGCAAGGGCATCCTTGCTGCACATAAAGGCACTTGGTAATGAATAGGGCTATTCATATAGAATTTATGTCATTTCCTTTTTTAGCTTTTCCTTTTGAAGCCTTGTTACTTAAAACAAAATTCAGTAGACATAGCTTACTTTATACCATGTGCTATTCGTGGGCTATTCTGTCTATTTTTCCCTGCAAATTTTTGTTTTAGATATGTGAACACTAACGTTTAGGGAGTGTATTAGTTCAAGCCACCATAACCAATACCATAGCATAACAAATACCATAGACTGCGTGTCTTTAAACAATAGAAATTTATTTTCTCACAGTTTTAGATGCTGGGAAGCCCAAGCTGAGGTGCTGACAGATTTGATTTCTGGTGAGGGCTCTCTTCCTGGCTTGCAGGAGTCTGCCTTCTTGCTGTGTTCTCATTTGGTGGAGAGAGAGCCCTCTGCCACCTCTTCCTATGAGGGCACTAATCTTATCAGATCTCATCCTTACCCTTATGACTTCATTTAACCTTAAATGATTCCTTAACTTCCTTATAGGCCCTATCTCTAAATACAGACACATTGAAGCTCAGGGTTTTAATGTATGAATTTTTGGGGGACACAACTCAGTCCATAGCCTTTAAAGCAGCAGAGCTAGAATTTGAATCTAAGTAGTGTGACACTGGAACCCTGTTGTCAACCCTCTTACAGCTGCCTAAGATTTTCATAGATGATTATAAGGTTGGCTCAGTTTGTCTTGCAAACCTCTCCACCTTTCTTTCCCTGTTCCATGTTTTAGGCATATTCCTCTCACCTGACTCTACCAAATCTCCATGTTGTAGGCCCTCAGTGTTCATCTCATTTGTACTAAAGATTAATTCCTTCCAAGGGTATTTGCATATTTATGAACACAATGTTCCAAATAAGAGGCATGCCCCACATAACAAATATTAGCTTTTAGAGCATATGGCAGATGAGACGTATTTTTAAGAGACTTTGTCCTCATCTCTCAGATCACCCCTTAGTGAAAATTGTAGCACTTTGGAATATGAGCTTGTAGTACATACATTTCCTACCATATTAATTAATTTTTTCCTTACTAATACCAAGAACACTGTTGTTTAATTCATTTTGTTTAATATCTACTGCTTCCAGCTTTCTCTTTTTATTAACATTTATTGAACAATTTTTGTATGTAGGACATAAAGTATACATTTAAAGATAAAAGGTGTTCTTTGCTTTCAAGGAAATTAGACATTAGCAGAGAAACAGACTTGTCTACAACTAACTACTGACCTAACTAGAATATATTAAATCTCAGAATAAGAATCTAAAAAATGATATGACATTTCAGAGAATGAAATCAGATAATACAAAATAATTTTTATTTCATTTTATTTTGTGAACAGTGAGATACTCCTGAAATCTTACGAGTACCTAGATAGCTTGATCCAATTCATTTCCAGAATCACCTCTCCAAAATAAAGGGGAGGCTGAAGGGGAAGAGAGTCTGGTCTATTATAATTTTCCTAAGGTAAATCCTAAAAGAAAAGAGATGTTCTAAACAGTAGAACACCTTTGTAAGTCAAGGATTTGTTGTTTGGAAGTCACATCCCCCTTAAAAGATTACTGTTTTGGCCGGGCGCGGTGGCTCACCCCTGTAATCCCAGCACTTTGGGAGGCCGAGGCGGGCGGATCACAAGGTCAGGAGATCGAGACCACGGTGAAACCCCGTCTCTACTAAAAATACAAAAAAAATGAGCCGGGCGCAGTGGCGGGCGCCTGTAGTCCCAGCTACTCGGGAGGCTGGGGCAGGAGAATGGCGTGAACCCAGGAGGCGGAGCTTGCAGTGAGCCAGGATCGCGCCACTGCACTCCAGCTTGGGCGACAGAGCAAGACTCCGTCTCAAAAAAAAAAAAAAAAAAAAAAAAAAGATTACTGTTTCTCCACCCATTATCACAAGGGACACTTTTGATCAGGATATTAGTGACTGGCATGACACAGGCAATGACAGAACAGGGAACTGACCAATAAAAATAGACTAGGTCATAAATTGGTAATTAACAGGTGTGACCATGTTGATATGGGTTGGTTGGATGTCAGAGCTGCTTTTGACCCTTGTTTTATATCCAGAGATCCCATGATTTGAAAAATTTTACTTGTTAAACACATTTCATGAGTTAAGTAATAAGTAAATTATTTTCCAGTTTCTTAATTGAATGATGATCTATGATTTACATCAGCTTAAGGTCAGTATAACAATGAATTGATACAATTTTAGTGGTCATTTATAAAAATGGGTGAGTCAGTTGGCCTAAGTGCGTGGCCTTATATTAAGCAAATGTATAATTTCCATTTGGCATTTTAAAATATTAAGAATAAATATTAAAAATATTTACCTAACTTTATCAAATTCCTAGGGTACAGTGGACTGCTGTCATCCATTAATAGTGTTGATTTAATTTATGTGCCTCATAGTCTGGAAATGTTTTTAAAATCAATCTCTCTCTCTCTCTCTTCCTAATACACACACCCCCCCCCACATATACCTGTATATATATATCTGTACATATCTATAATTATAGATTTTATGTGAATGTCTTTATAACTGATGTATTCTTCAGTTGCCAAGGTATTTACCACTCCCTTTTGCCTTACACATTTATGTTACACACCTGGCTTCTGAAAACATGTGTTTTTAATTTCCGATTTAGACCGTTGTATGTTTTTGGTGATATCACTTTGTCCATGTCAAAATTCAGTTCCAGTATAATGAGTCATGCTATGATAGAGTTTTTAAAATCTATAATTGGCTTCAACTTTTGAAGCACTATTAATTCAGATTTTACTATTTATATTTGGCAATTTCTACTTGAGTTGAATCCATCTTCACTTCCAGTACGCACACATTCCATTTTAGTTCAAAGATTTACTAACTCTTTTAAATGCTAGTATTGACCTTCGGAGATTCTAAAAAGCACATTTGACTTTTTGTGCCATGTAAAACTTCTCTTGTTGACTTTTGTTTCGATTCTTCCTTTTACTTGCCTCCCCTGCTCCTCCACTGAAACCAGTTCTCTCAAAACTACCTGCCCCCAACCTCAGCCAAAGGAAAAAAAAAAAAAAGCATCTGTGATCTTGAGTACGTGGTGATGGTGCCCTTGACACATATGCACATGCAGGGACCAACAGGCAACATTCTTGCGCCACCTTGGTTTGCCTGTTACCTTCCTGCCCACTCCTTTCCTACCCTGGGACCACTTTCTGATGCTGCTGCAAAGTCTTGTCTAAGAAATGGCAACATTGTGCCCTAAATGTGCTGACTTTCCCTTCCCATTGTACTTTGTAAAGATCATGGGTAATTTTAGTAAGGACAAAGTAGCAAAAGGACAACCAGAAGAATGCTGAATGGTTACAACCCCAGTGGCAGATATAATGTCTTTTTGATGAACATTAATGATCTAGGGTATACTTCAGGGAAAGTACATTACAAGGTCTTCGAGAGAGAACATTATGACCGGCACCTGTAATTCTTGCCTGTATTCACAAGAACTGAATGTCCTCGTGAGCTGACTTTTGCCTTGCATTGCTAATGTTAAATAAGAGAATGGATGGGAAGCAAATGGTAGCACTTGGGGACATTTTTCTTTCTTCTCTGAAGAAAAAAATGGCAAATGGTGGTGTGAATGCAACTTGCCACAAAACATAAAAGTGTAAGAGTTCCGCTGTTTGAGGTGAAAAAATAAGTTTTGTTTTTTTTTTTAATTGTAAAAATTAGCTCCAGGTTCTCTCAGGAGCTTAAAGAAAAAAAGCTTTGAGAAATGGGAGTGAATTGCAAGATAGGGTTTGTGTAACAAGTTCCTCAAACCACAGAGGTCACATGGGCTCTTTCTGCTTTGCTACTTTTGATTACTTGTCAGAGTTGTACTTTTAGCTTCCCCCATCCTGCAAGGCCACTCAACCATGTGCTAGCTGGAGTGATCTTTATTCACAATGTCTTTACAAAGGCTCCTGCAACACAGCAGCAATGGCAATTTGGCGGACTTCTGTGCTGGGCCAGCGTATAGCTCTTACTCCACACTCACAGGTAGCCTTACGATGGACGATAATAGAAGGATTCAAATGTTGGCAGACACGGTGGCTACTCTACCTCGGGGACGAAAGCAGGTATGATTGCTATTTTGTACCTTTTAGAGTGTTCACGTTCTCTTGAGGGCAAAGTGATATGTTTGTCTGACTTCATACTAATAGTGATATTTTAGAGGCTTTGGAATTAGTGGCTGATTATTATGGGCGAAGGAGGTGAGATGCTCAGGGAGCTGGGTGAAACAGTCCAAAGATTTGAGACCACAATCAAACTTTTTTTTCAAGGCAAAAAATAGTTTGTTTTTCTCATTTGGAGGAGTGCTCAGATAAAATAAAAATCATTACGCATAATAAACTTGAAGATGGTTTATATAGATACAACCAGTATGAGAATTAATGATCTTTTCCCCATTGTGTCTCCCTTGATTCTTTCCCTTCCATCCTCACTTGCAGTCCTTGATGGTCATTTCAGTTCATAATCAAATAAGAAATACTTTTTTTGAGGACAAATTTTGTTGACTAATTATCTTCAGCTCTTGGGCACTGGCACATTCCTCATGCTATTGGAAAGTAAGATTTTTGTTTTTGGATAGATGAGTGCCAGATTGAATATCAGCTCACCACTTAGTGACTGTGAGATCTTGAGCAAGCCACTTGCCTCTCTAAGCTTCAGTTTCCTTTTTTCTAAAATGAAGTTAATAATAGAACCACCCTTATTGGGTTCTTATGTTGGTTAAATAAGGAACTGTGCAGTGCGTAACACGGTGACTGGCATTCAGTGCATGCTTATTAACTGCCAGATTATGCCATTTTAATATTTTTATTGCAAAGTTTGTCTCTAGGGATGAAAACTCATTTGGAAAAATCTATGTCTAACTGAATTTATTTTGATTTTTTGTTCTTCAATTTCTAGCATGTAAAAAAAATATTTTTAACCATAATACCTCTTCAGGATTTTTTAAAACGACTTGCTCTAAATCCCCAGGTACATATTTGAATTTCGATATAGCATTTCTACAGAAAATGTTTAAAATTGCCATAGAGCAAGAATTTTTGTGCTGAAGTCTTGCATGTACATCATGTGCTTCTCTTACGCCTTCTAAATTCAGGATTAGAGAGGTATGGCATAGGTATGGCAAAAAAGACATGATCTTTTTTGCAGTGATGTATATAGCTGATGCCTTGGCATTTTTCACAATGAAGATAAGGGCATAATTTTCCATGATTTGGATTATTGATCGTTCTCAATCTAAAGTGCTTTTATGATACAAACTTTAATGTAGTGATGTACATTTTATCAATCTACAACCTGTCTGAAGATAAAGCAACATGAGAAATGCCGACATCTTTTTTCAGTTTTCAGATATAAAGCAGTCAGATTTTCTTTATATTTGCCATGAAGCTATCACACTAACTATGGTTCACTTGATTAGGCTATGTTTTTTTTTTGTTTTTTTGTTTTTGTTTTTTTTCCTGAAGAGAGTTGGTATTTTTTGAATCAGGGTGGGAACTTTCCACCCTCTATGTCCTCCATACCCGCAACCTCACTCATTTGATCTACTCTCTAGCCCATGCAATTCAATGCAACAGATGGTTCCTGAGCACCTACAAGGAGACAGACATCATGCTAGAGTAGGAGGCAAAAAGACGAGAAGGGAATGTTTTCTACCCATATACTGTTTACAATTCAGTAAGCAGAAAGAATGGGTTTTCTGCAAAGTAAAACAACATGAATACTCTCATCCAAGTGAAACATCTTTAAATATAGTCTTGGAAATAGATATTCCAGATATTGAAGGGTATTCCAGAGCAAGGGAGAAACTGAAGCTGCGGCACAGATCCTGGTGCCTGGAGGATTTTTTTGTGTAACAACACAATATTAAGTGTGTCAGGAGAACCTGGTTAGTGTGTAGGAGGTGAGAGGAGATATCAGAGCTGGGCTGCTTTACAGAACATTTGGACAACTTCTGAAAAAGCCGGCACGAGGGCCACTGAACATGTTTGAGAAGTAGAAGATTTCAGGAACCTTATTGTAGAAATGTGGTGGATTAGTAAGTGAGTGGAGACTAGTGGTGAGGGAGGAACTTTTGCAGTTGTTGGAGAAAGCAGAAATGGGGGAACAGAAAGGAGACTGAAAAGCTTTAATATGAAAGGAACTGAAGATGGAGGAGTCACATCTGGTTTAAGCCAGAGTGAAGATAGCATGAACTGAAAGAAGGCAATCAGTAGGAGAGGCTGATTATCAGAAGAAGGTAAAGACAGGGATTTTGGCATATGAAATGCACGTGTGTGTGTGTATGTGCATATGTGCATGTACACATATGTACACAGGCACACACATATCCCCATACTAATTAATTTATGCAGATGTTCTCATCTTTTCTAGGTCTTCTCATTCCCCTTCTCTCAAATTCTTTCATGTGGTAGACTCCCCATATCCAAACAGCTTTTTCTTACTGTTGTGAGAATTGCTTTAAAAAATAGCAAAACAAAACTTCTTGTACATGATAGTTCTGATTCCGTACAATTATCATCAATGAGACTTGATGCAAGTTTATCCCAACATTTCACAATCTTCCAAATGGATGTTCATTTCCTTTAACTGGTTTTTAGAGAATAATCACCCATTTGGCACTGACTAAATTGCAGGCAACAAGATCCTTGTGAGGCAATCACATGAGCAGGTGTTTCTCTGCCTACTGTTATTTTCAACACTTTCAGGGCTGACGTCAACAGCTCATACTTCTTGTTGTTGTTGGCTTTGGTTTCTGCAAAGCTATATCTGGTTAGCTTGTAGTTTCAAATTAGTCTTCAGAATCAATTGGGTGTTTACATTCAGAATTATTTAAAAATAGATTTCTCTGTGTGCATGTCATCTCACTACCTGTACTGGTAGGAAGTGTCAGACACCCCAGTATGGCTTCTGCTTGTGAACATAGTTTTAGGGCAAAAGAAAGAAAATCTTTGCAATGGAAAGCTCGATAGGAAGGAGACAGGAGGAATTAAGGACAGCCTCTATCAATGGCGCCAAAGAAGTAGTGATTGTCTTACCACCCACTCTCATAACTGTAGTACGTTGCTTTTGGAAAGCAGTTTTTACAGAATGCTATAGTGAGAACCAGGGACCTGACAAACAAGTCCACAAACTTTAGTGGTACCACAGACTGACTCTCTTTTCCTCATTTTCTTTTAGTTATCACATTATTGCTAAATAGGCAACTGCTGGAATGCTGATTTCATCTACAAGTTCAGACAGGGAATGTGTGCTCTGCTCTGGGATGTGTACACTGCTGGGCAGGGCTCTGCCCTGCAGCGGCTTTCACGGTGTGTCCAGCAGCACACCCATTAGGTGCTGTAACTCCCAATTGTCCTGAACTACACCAAAGGATTTTAATCACTTCATGACAATTTTAGGTAGAAAACTGTGCTAATTTCACTACAAAAGACTTTGAAAACTATTCTTTAATCCATATTGTGGCATGCATGATCAATACCCAATAATTTTTCTTGAAGAGGTCTGTCTGTGAGCCTACAGTCAGACCTTACTTGGAAATGGCAGTATTGTATTTCGGTTTCTCCGGGCACTTAACATTAGGCAATTAAGTTCAGCTCCATTATTTTGTTGCATCTTTGAACAGTCTGTGGAGCATTGATATCCTAACGCTCCTTACTTAAAAGGGGGTGGGAGTTGCATGGAAGAATTAGGGAGTGAGGCAGGGGACTGGAAAGGCAGCAGAGCACATAATTTTGGGGACTTTGAAACAAATACCAGTGACAAAAAACCTCACTCTTGAATCAGTAGCCTCTCCTCAGCACCCTCCCCAACACTTTCAGGAGATGAGTATATAGAGTGGGGACCAAGAGGAAGTAACCCTCTGTAGGAGCCCCAGAGTGGCTACAGTGTTGAATTTTGAGCTTCTCTAAGGAAGGCTGGCTATCTGGCTGAGCTGCCAATTACTCCTATCTTTCAAAAATTGACAGCTGAAGTATTGGTCTTGGTTTCCCACTGAAGAGGAATGTGTGGAATCACTGCAGAGCAGAATAAATTAAATTTTGAATATTAATGCCTGATCTTTTAGGTCATCTGACTAAAAACAGAAGAGTGATCATAAACCCAACCCTAGGTATCAGTGTATTATGGCTAGAAAGGAGTTAAGAAGCTTTGTCTATTCAGCAGTCATAATTGAATGTGTAGTTTGCAAGCCTGCCAAATTGCTAAACCTAGATTTCTCATATTAGATAATGTGTAATAAAAGACAGCTGTTGCCAGCATATGCTGTGAATTGCACACCAGTTCCTCATTCATGATTTTTGGTGCCATCACTACAACCCTTAGAAAAGGCTCTGCCTGGGAGGGCTGTCTGGGGAACATAGACCCCACTGGTCAGATCCTTGAATAGGGCTGTTCACCCAAGGGAAAGGAGTGCAGGAAAGACTTTTTTTTTTTTTTTCTCCAAGGTGCAAAACCCTTGATAAGATCTTAGACACACTTCATTTCACTTTAGGCAGGTAGTTTGGTGTGTGAGCTAGGTCGAACCCTGGGAACATTCCTTTCCACATCGCCTGAGTCTGACAGCCCAGATCACAAACAAGTAGACTTTGTGTCAAGATGTGGCACGTGTCAGAGAATTTGACGGTACTTAATTTATTTAAATTGTTTTTTGTTTAAGTGTTAGGTGCTTGAAACAGCCTCTTAGCTAATACAGAATGGAAACTAATTTTGTAATTTGACTTAATCTGACTTTTGGTGTGGCTGATAACCCAAATCAGTCAGTCCACAGGAACTGAAAATCTGCTATGTTTCTCATGTTGTGCTAGACAAATATTTTCATCTTTAACTAGTCAATTAGCTAGATAGAAAGGTTAGAAGTAGAGTGGTAGGGGAAATATCTATAGAGGTTTCAGGTCTGTCCTGTGGTTTAAAAGATTTTACATTTGAATCTATCCAGAATGACTTTTGATTCAAAAGACAGGTTGGATGAAATCTTGAAGTTCCTAACAGATGCATTGATTTCTGGCATAGTAAAAGGGCATTTAAAATTGACAAGGCTCAAAATTTTACTAATAATTTATTAATTCTTGCCACCATTCATCCACTTAGCAGTTATGTACTGAGGCACTACTATAATTGTTTTCTTTTTTCTTTTTTTTTTTTTTTTGAGACGGAGTCTTGCTCTGTCACCCAGGCTGGAGTGCAGTGGCTGGATCTCAGCTCACTGCAAGCTCCGCCTCCCAGGTTCACGCCATTCTCCTGCCTCAGCCTCCCGAGTAGCTGGGACTACAGGCGCCCACCACCTCGCCCGGCTAGTTTTTTTGTATTTTTTAGTAGAGACGGGGTTTCACCGTGTTAGCCGGGATGGTCTCTCGATCTCCTGACCTCGTGATCCGCCCGTCTCGGCCTCCCAAAGTGCTGGGATTACAGGCTTGAGCCACCGCGCCCAGCCTATAATTGTTTTCTATTAGTACTTTTTCTATACTTCTTGTTTTGGATTGAATTTTTTTTTTGTTCTTGTCTGTTTTCTTTCATTTTAACTTTTTTGATTTTTAAAATTTGTATTTATTTAGTTGATATATAATCATACATACTCATGGTATACATAGTGATGTTTTGATACATAGAATGTATAGTGATCAGATCAGAGTAATTAGCAAATCCGTCATCTCACACAATGATCATTTCTTAGTTTTGGCACTGTTGAATATCCTCCTTCTAACTATTTGAAACTAGTACATGATATACTATTGTTAACTATAGTTAGCCTACAGTATAGAGCACTAGAACTTATTCTTCCTATCTAGCTGTAATTTTGTATCCTTTAAAAAATGTGTCCCTATCCATTTCTTCCCCCAACCCTTCTCAGCCTCTAGTATCCTCTGTTCTACTTTTTACTTCTATGAGATCAATTTTTTTTAGCTTCCACATATGAGTGAGAACATGTGGTGTTTAACTTTCTATTCCTGGCTTATCTCACTTAACATAATGTCTTCCAGTTCAATCCATGTTGCTGTGAATGACAGGATTTCATTCTTTTTTATGGCTGAATTGTATTCCATGGTGTATATATACCACATTTTCTTTATCCATTCATCTGTTGTTGGACACCTAGGCTGATGCCATCTCTTGGCTATTGTGAATAGTGCTGCAATAAACATGGGAGTGCAGATGTCTCTTCGATATAATGATTTCCTTTCCTTTGGATGAATTCCCAGTAGTGGGATTGTGGGATCATATGGTAGTTCTATTTGTAGTTGTTTGAGGGACCTCCATACTGTTCTCCATAGTGGCTGTACTAATTTACATTCCCACTAACAGTGTATAAGAGTTTCCTTTTCTCCTTATCCTCACCAGCATTTATTATTCATTGTCATTTTGATAATAGCTATCCTAACTGGCGTGAGATGATACCTCCTTATGGTTTTAATTTCCATTACCCCAATGATGAGTGATATTGAGCATTTTTTCATATATTTGTTAGCCATTTGTATATCTTCTCTCTCTCTTCTTTCTTTTTCTTTCTTTCTTTCTTTCTTTCTTTCTTTCTTTCTTTCTTTCTTTCTTTCTTTCTTTCTTTCTTTCTCTTTTTCTCTCTTTCTCTCTTTCTCTCTTTCTTTCTTTTTTTGAGATGGAATCTCACTCTGTTGCCAGGCTGGAGTGCAATGGCATGATCTCAGCTCATTGCAACCTCTGCCACCCGGGTTGAAGTAATTCTTCCAATTCGGCTTCCCGAGTATCTGGGATTACAGGCACCTGCCATCATGCCTGGCTAATTTTTGTATTTTTGTAGAGACGGGGTTTCACCATGTTGGCCAGGCTGGTCTTGAACTCCTGACCTCAGTTGATCCACCCTCCTCGGCCTCCCAAAGTGCTGGAATTACAGGCTTGAGCCACCATGCCCAGTCTTGTATGTCTTCCTTTGAGGAAGGTCTGTTCAGATCATTTGCCCATTAAAAAAAATTTTTTTTTTTATCTTGAGGTATTTCAGTTCATTATATATTCTGGATATATAAATGAGTAGTTTGTAAATATTTCCTTCCATTCCACAGCTTGTCTTTTCACTCTGTTGATTGTTTGCTGTGCAGAATCTTTTAAATTTAATATAGCCCATTAGTTTATTTTTGCTTTTGTTGCCTGTTTTTTGAAAGTCTTATTCATAAAAATTTTTCCCAGTCCAATGTGCTGAAGCATTTCCCCTACGTTTTCTTCCAGTAGTTTTATTGTCTCAGGTTTTACATGAAGGTTTTGATCCATTTATTCATTTTCAGTTGATTTTTGTATAGAGTGAGAGGTATGGTCTAGTTTCTTTCTTCTGCATATGGATATACAGTTGTCTGTTTTGTTTCATTTTAAAATCTTGCTACATATTTAAGATTTTTAAATTTTACTTTATGTATTTTAGTGATTATCCTTGAGTTTTTCCCATGATATTGAATTTAAGAAAGGACAATGTTGAAAACTATCTTTACATATTTCTCCTGAACTTGAATATTTCACTTGGCTCTTCAATCACCTCAGATTCTTCCATTTTCATTTGGTAGTTTATATGTTTTTATCTATTTCTCTATTTTTAAGTTTCCATTCTATTCCAGGCCCTGTGCTGGGCATTGAGGCAGAAAGTAAAACAAATAACATTCCCCAAGAGGCCCAAATCACACAGATGATTATGTACAGATGTGAAGTATTTGATCCAGTATGCATTTCATATAAATATATACATATAAGTATACATATATATAGCTCTCTCTATATGGATATATGAATAATATGATGAATACTGATAGCAAGAGTAATACTTTAAAAATATAAGCCCTTACTTATGGAGGTATAAGATACTTCTTTTATAAAAAGAATAAAAAAGCCCTAGTTATGATTATATAATTTGAATTAAGGGTGGAAAACAAGCAGCTGAAGATGATAAAAATAGATTAAGAAAATATGAGTACAATATAAGGGAGAGACTGAGAATGCTTGGAAATATCAAGTTTGTGGCTCTCTTCTGCAAGGAGGCCCACTAACATAGATGAATAGTCACTATACTTGTTAACGGTACATATGAAGTACAAAATCAGGTTACAACAAACCATACCAATCCTTGTAGGCATTCCACAGTTAGTGCTTATAAACTGAAAAGAGATACTTTTTAGTAAGACTAGAGAATCTTTTTGGGTCTGAGCCATCTATTTCAGTCTTCATTGCAACATAAGTGAGTTGAAGCCCAGAACTAACAATAGAGGAAAATATAATTAATTTACAGCAAATTGGCAAGAAGAGATCACCTCTCCATTACATTAAGTTTATGGACTGGTGGCTGAATTCTTAACACTGGTCCCTTCCAGGAAATGTGTGTAAATGCTGGCATTTGGTACCTGGTAATTCAAATTTCCTACAGTGGTGTAGGCATTACTCCTAATGAATGTCTTAATAAGCATTTCATTTGTGTAACTTGTCGCATAAGCATTAATATCTTCTACATATTTTCCCCCTTCTAGTTTTCATCCTTTCCTTATTTTATTTTGCCTTGTCTGGACTGACTATGCATTGATCTCTTGATATTTTATGTGTTCATTTATATATGACAGCCATTTCAGGTTGACAATTAAAAACCCTGGGTTAGCTAGAAGCTTATGTGTTGGGTTCTTGAACCAACACTTGAGAATAGGGCTAATAAACATTTTCTGAACAAAGAAACAAACAAACAAACAAAAAAACAAAACCAAAAAACCACACACACAAAACCTGCTGCAATTTTCCTAAAAAATAAGTTGTCACCTTTTGTTGATGCTGCTTCTGTTTACAGCGGTAGAATGTGTCCTGAAAGCTTATGTTTATATGATCTTTTCTGAAAGTGCAGAGGAATGAAGGTGATATTATTTATACCATTTATACTATTCTGAGGTTTCTTTCCTTTCTTGGCTGGAAATTTCACTTCAGTCTTCCAAAACTATTACAAAAATAAATCATAAGCAGAAATGAGGTCTTGAGTTCCTGGTTTTACCTGAATTGTGTGTGTGAGTTGATTGTTTAGAGATTATTTTATCCTACTAAAAACAGTAACATATTGAATTATTATAGTAAACACAGTCATTTCATCATCATCTCCAAAAACTATAAAGTATTTGGGTTTCATATGCCATTCTACGTATGCTATTTTTCTTTGGATTTCAGTGTGATTACAAATTGCTATGGTTAATCTTTCAGAGTCTGTTTTAAATACAGACCAGAGAGGAAGTTCTCTTTGGGAGCTTTGGAGTTTTGCCACATTATATTAACTCTTTTGCCACATTGTATTACTATCTAAGCCTCTTTCAATCTTTTAATTGGAATGCCTAGAATCCTGTCTCCCTACTCTCCTCTGCTGTCACTAGAGAATGTAGAGAATGGAAATGGCTGCCTTTATGCAACAATTTCCCAGGAGCTGGGCCAAAGAAGGTGGTAAAGAACAGGGTGTGTGTGTGTCAGTGTGTGTGTGTGTGTGTGTGTGTGTGTGTGAGAGAGAGAGAGAGAGAGAGAGCGAGAGAGAAAGGGAGAGAGAGAGAGATTTAGAACATTTTACAGTGTATCTTGAAGACCCTGGGATAACTATGTGCTTTTTGGATTTTTCAGCTTGCTTTGACCAGATCAAGTTCTTTAGGTGACTTTTCCTGGTCTCAAAGGTAAAGAAATTGAATTATTTTTTGTCTCTCCCAAAATATTTAGGAACACAGCTCTCCAGACTGTTTCTTTCTCTCTCTCCCTTTCTCTCTCTCTCTCTCTCTCTCTCTCTCTCTCTCTCACACACACACACAGACACACACACAGAATCTTACATACTACAATTTACATAAATGTCAGTTATTTTTAATTGTGACAGTTATTTTTAATGATAAATCTGTGCCAAATGTGATACTTTAATTTTCATGCAGTTTCTTTTTTAAACATTTTTATTACAGAAAGCTTGTTACTGTGGAGAAGCAGGATAATGAAACATTTGGATTTGAAATTCAGGTGGGCAGTTTTCACATTTTCTAGACTTCCAAAGAAGAAAGTGGCATTGGTAGTGTCATGTTATGTGCAAAGAAATAATGAAGTTAGGATTAGAAAATGATGGAGTCTATGATTTTATTCAGTGTGTGCTTGTTTGGGGGTAGTTTTTCAGTGTGTTGAGTACTATTAAGGAAGGAAAACATTGAAGATGATAACATAAAACCCCCGAGATATGTTCAACAGTTTGTGCTTAGTTACTTCGGTCTTCCCTTAAGTCCCAGACCGATCAGAAATGGTTGGTACCAGCCAGGTCTTAGATAAGAGAGTGAAATACATTTTACAGATGTGCATTTGATATATTTGCATTTTGAATGTGTTTTGCATAATCATATTGTTATACTGTATATCAGATTTTAAATATTTACTTTGGCATTCAAGAGACACTCGAAAGACTATACATCTGTGTATATGGAATGCATATATTCATGGATAGCTCCTGGTGCGTTTTGCTGCTAAAGAGTTCATATTGTACATGATGAAAAACTTGTAGCTTTTTTTCCTAATGACAATGCTTTATAATTGTTATTTGAAACACTTGAGAACATTTGGCTCTACTTGCAGATTGCCTCATGCTGTAGGAAATTTTTAAGTCTTTGTAAGTTTCAGCATAATTGCCTAAGAATTTCATTGCTTATTTGCTCTCTGCTTTTTCATGACCACATTTGTAAAGTGGGTGAGGTAGGTCAAATGAAATCTAACCCAATTAAGTGCGACAGTAGTAGCTTAAGCATTTCTGTTTTTTTTTTTTCCCATAGTACGTTTGCATGTCTTTTGGGTGTGTTTTGCATAATCATATTCTTACACTCTATATCAGATTTTAGATCTTAGCTTTAGTGCTGCTTTCAGAAAACTTTGGTGTGATATCAGCCCCACAATTGGAAAGTCAGTGTGTATTTTAAGATTAGGAACAGGAAACTGCTAAGTAAAACATGTTTTATGAGTAAAGAAACAAAATGGAACTCTAGCTGCAATGAAGACAGAGAAGGCACTTTGAAAAGAGGATTGCTTCCACTTTCTGAACTCTTCTACTTTTAAATTTGGTGAAATCTGTAATTCACCACAGTAATTGGTGAAATCTATTAGGTTTTAGAAGCATAGTACTCCCTCTTATTCCCCAGTCATATGAACTACTCCCTATTCTGTTGTAGAGACTCTGCTTTTTGTCACTGCCTCTTTTTAAAGGAGAATTATCCTCTAGGATGTGCAGCAGTGGCTATTGAAAACAGGATGAAAGACTACTCACCTGTCTTTATTTTTCTTACACTGCTATAATATATGTCACTACTCATTGTTCAATGAGTAGTGACATCATATATATATATGTATATGTATATTATATGTCACTACCCTTAAGTTTTTCTCCCATACCATAAACACTTATTCTTCATGCAGCAAGAGTCAAAACTATGTCAGACTACAACACCACCGAACCTTTGTAGATCAACATGAACTAAGGGCACCTCTAAATGGCAGCATGCATGTGTTATCTCAGTGATGCGGGAACCCACACCCCTGTAAATTCCCTCTGGTATATGCTCCCCATTGTCAAATACACACCGTAATCTATTCCCTAGTACTCATCAGATTGCCAGCAGTCAACAAATAGGAGACATGCTTCCGGGAACTTTTTGAAAATCAGATAGAATCTCATGTACCCATATTGTTCATGCAGTGTGAGTACGTATTTGGGACGTGGCCTACTAGAGGAATGACACTTTGGAAGAGACCAGATCCATGGTTCTCCATGGGAGCTAGTTTTATGCTGCTTATGAGAATCGTACAGCCCAATAGGAATGCAGACTTTGGACTCATGCACACTTGAATTCATATCCTCTCAATGACTGCCTCATGGGGTCCTTAGGAGTTTTAAATGAAATAATACATGCAGTATACCTAGTGATGTGCCTGGTACCAATAGAAGATCCACAAATGACAGGTGTTAGAATGAATGTCACTGGGCATGAGAAAGGACAATGAGATCTTTGTGTCTCTAAGAAATGCAGGTGATCATTGTGTCACTGATCCCTTAGTAGGAGCTAGAAGACTGGGTAAGGGAGGGAAGTATCCGGTTAATACTTTCTGTAGCTTTGGGGTTTCCGTTTTTTTTTCTATTTCTAACTACCAAATTTTACACCCAATGTGAACATATATGGAGGTGCCAGTTACATAAATCAACATGTTTCCACTGCACTGTACTCACTTTGATCTCTGGGAATGGAGGGTAGAGTCTCACTGCTAATGAGAATTGTTAGAACAGTGGTTTCCCAAAGGAGTGTCAGTTATATCTTTTGTTCATGTACCACATGAACTAGTTCAGTCTTTCATCTCCAGAAGGGTCTAGGCTATACTGAGAAGACACCTGGCAGGAAAGCTGTTAATGAAGTTTCTGACATAGATGGGAACATAGTGCATGATCTTTTAAAGTCCCTTTCACCTTTAAGATATGGGGATTCTAAGTGCCTTATAGATTAGATAGAACTCCTTTAGAGGTGAACAGACCCAAGTTTCTAGAAGTTGCTTGCATGTGGCTGACTTGTGGTGCCTCAGGGATTATTGAATAAGAAAGAATGAACATCAGACATTAATTTTTTCACAAGGAAGTAGTACTTTAATGTAGCTTAATTTTAGGAATCAGATGTTTAAAAGACATACCCTACTCAGAACACTGATTTTGCTTCTAAGTGGGACTAGACTTCGTAATTTAAATGTGTGAAAAAAAGAAAATTATATTTGTTATAGGTCATTGGGACACTATATCTAGCAAACATTTATTCAGTGTTTTGGTATAATTAAAAATAAAAAAACCCCACACAACCAAACTTCTTGTGCCTAATTGAGGCAAGAGTCGAAGCTTAACTTTTTCTAATTTAGTTGGGTAACTAATGAACCGGTGAGGATTCAGGACAGGCATACCAGAGGGTGCTCAGAAATGAAGGTAATTGAGTCAATTATAGTACTTCTGAATAAATGCAGGGCAGATTGTCATTATGTGCAGAACTCTGATTTAAAATAATCATTGTTGGCATGTCTCCTTGCTGCATGTGTACAATTTCATACTCCTATAATGAGTGTTTTAGCTTGGGAGAACCACATAGGGATTTTTCTCATTGCACTTGGCCATCGTTGTTTTATCCCATTGGGAAATGAGAAACTCAATTTTTAAAAATAAATATGTAATTATGACAGCATCAGGTGATATCTTGGGCTTGAAAATATAAAATCTTGAGCCACTTTCATTTCACTTTCTTTCTCATGACAGATGTCTTTATGAATGGAGTTGGCTACAGATTGTCTGGTAGAATTGCAAAATTGATACCTTGATTCAGTTTATAGTGGAAATCCTTTCCAAATTGTCCTTTGGACTGACCTGTTATACTGCGTAATGCTAGTTGACATCATTTTACATTTTGGCAAATAGATGTTGAGGTTGTTAAACAGTAACTATATGTCACCTTAATTTTTACAGTCTTACAGGCCCCAGAATCAGAATGCCTGCTCCTCGGAAATGTTCACTTTGATATGCAAAATACAGGAGGACAGCCCAGCTCACTGTGCTGGCCTGCAAGCTGGTAACTTAAATTTTTGCTCATGTTAGGAATCGTTTAAATAGAAAGAAAATAAAATGTTTTGAGAGTGAAGGTCAGGATGTATTCGTTGCTTTGAGTTTTCTTGGCTCCTTTATGTTTTTAAGACTTGGAGCTGCTTGTTTCATTTGCATGTCAGGAGGGATTATTTAACTAACCAACATAACACTCATTTTTCTTGGCATCTCCCAGGTGATGTCCTTGCAAATATCAATGGTGTGAGCACAGAAGGTTTTACCCACAAACAAGTCGTTGACCTGATCAGATCGTCTGGAAACCTGCTAACGTAACTATCTGTCTAGTTCCCATGGGGCTTCAAAATGTTATGTTTTCTCATAATGCCTGATGAGTGAATAAATAGGCTTTTTGTTCAGCATCACAAGACAGGGGGAGGCAGTGCACTGGAACTTTAGAGTGGGGTACAAACATTATCAGTTCCTTTTGTTTCTCAAGATTCCTCACACTTGAACATACTGTCAACATCTGAAGTCAGAGGACATCAATAGCCCAAACGTCTGTGTGGGAAGGATGGCCTTTAAAATGTATTTTTTTATGTTAAATTCAATTAAACTGGCACACATTCTCTTTAAACTGGGAGGAACTGATCCAATTTTCATGGTTGATATAATTCTGTGTAGCTAAAACAAATAAAAGGTCAGAAGGGCTGAGTTTTTCCTCTTATGTGACAAGCCACCTGTTTTTCTCTTCTAGTGTTCCATTTGGAAAGGAAGAATAGTCTGTTCAACCCTCCCCACCCTGAAACACACATACTCACACCATGTGTTCCAAATATTTCAAACTTTTTTTTTTTTTTTTTTGAGATGGAGTCTCGCTGTGTCTCCCAGGCTGGAGTGCAGTGGCGCGATCTCGGCTCACTGCAAACTCCACCTCCCGGGTTCAGGCCATTCTCCTGCCTCAGCCTCCCGAGTAGCTGGGACTACAGGTGCCCACCACCACACCCGGCTAATGTTTTGTATTTTTAGTAGAGATGGGGTTTCATCGTGTTAGCCAGGATGGTTTCGACTTCCTGACCTCGTGATCGGCCCGCCTCGGCCTCCCAAAGTGCTGGGATTACAGGCATGAGCCACCGTGCCCAGCCCCAAACTTCTTGATAGAACAGTGGCTTTCCCAGTTAGAGGTCTGACTGAGTTTTCCACCATAACAATACTAGCACCTAATAAAATCTTATTAGGATAGTTAAATAACGAAATTTGCTCATTCATTAAAATCATATTTATTGAGCAAATACTATGTTTCCAGCTCTGTGATAGGCTCAGGAGAGACCAAGATAAAGACTCTCTTCATACGTTAATAATTATGGAAGGAAATGGCTCAGAAAAGCCTGAAATTTAAGTAATGTTTATATTTCAGTTATTAATAACTACTATGAGAAAAGTACAAAACAGCAATGGCCTGTCATGCTGGGTAAGGAGGCTGCTAGTTTGGCTTAGATGTGTAAAGTGGTCTTTTCTGGGGAGGCGATATTTGAGTTGAGATCTAAATGAAGAGAAGGATGGTCAAATGAACTCCTGGTGAGAGCACTTCAGGCAAAGAGAGAGGTCTCTGAGTTCTCAAAATGGGCTTGGCATGTACAAGGGAAAGAAAAAAAGGCAGTATAATTGGTAGTTGATGGATTAGAGAAAGTATAATAAGAAATGAAGCCAGAGAGTTGGCCTGGGGACAGACCATGGATCTCTTTGGCCATGCCAACAAGTTTGAGTTTTATTCTGATTGAGGTGGTCCTATGTTGTCTCATTTATTCTTCACAGCCACCCGTGAGGTTAATTTTATTCCTATTTATAGATGAAGTGCCTGAAGCTTAGAGAGGGCTTAGTTAAGGTCACATAACCAGTAAGTCATAGGGTTGAGAATTGACCACCTGCTCTGGATGCCAGGATCTGTCCTTTTCAACTATGGATGCTCCTTGGAAGCTGCCAGTAGAAAATCTGCTGGATGCTCTTCAGTGATTCTGGTCTAAAACTTCAAAGGATGCTTTGGGTGTTTGTGAGAGTAGATATGAAAGATGGTGGTGGTAACGAATTGAGTCCAACTCTATAGGTCCTGTGAGTTCAGGGTAAAGAATGAGGCATTCTTGCTCTAGAGAACCCTGGATCCAAAGGAGAGGAACCGTGCAGAGTCTGAGGGGAACTGCTGGTGGTTAGAGTCAGAACGCATGTTCCACATGGGTGAAGAGGGTAGACCATAGGTAAATAGGGGTGGTAGATGGAGGTAACTGTTGGAAATTCAGGAAAATGGGAGACAGTCTGTGCAAATACTGAGCAAAATGGCCAAATCAATGGTTGCACTTTTGCCCATACACATCTATTGCTTCAGCAGGTCAAATTGACATTCAATCCCAATGAAACAGATTCATATGGATTCCCGTTATTTCTCAGAGAGTCAACATCACCTTAAGGAGAAAACAGAGAGCATTTGGCTTGCTACCACCTGATTATCCCTGGCACGATGCTATTAGAAATAGAGGAAAACTGATCTCCACATTTAATGCTTTTACTATGTCTTGAAAAATTCCTTGTATCTTTATAGAGTTACAGCTTAATTACAAGAAGGAACCTGAACCAACACTTTAAAAATTGGTGTGTGATTCACAAATGAAATGTTTAAATCATATTCAGATTGATGGTTTAGTAGTCAAAATAAAAGCCTTTAACTTGAACACACAGAACAAATCAAATCACTCAGAATGGAACCAGTATTTTATTTTTAGAAATGTGTATGGTGTAGGAAGAACAGAACACTGGTAAGTCGATAATTCTAGGATTAGAGTTTGTAAACTGAATGTTTTGAGATGAAAGAATCATATGAAGGTTATTATCTCATAGTAGTTGTACTTCTCTTTCTTCTAGTACCAAAATTATAAGGAGATTTACAGAGGTAAAGGCTCCTAGAATCCTAGGGTGGAAAGGATTTCTCCCTCTTTCAAGAAGTAGCATGTTAATTCCATGGTTGTGAAAGTCCCTAGTGCCTATTGTTTCTGTTGTTGTGCCCCTTGTGTTCAGCATGGTTTCTAGCATCTGGTACATAGTAGATGCCCAATCAGTGTTTACCAAGTGAGTGAGGTCATTCAGCTCATCCTCACAAGAACAGATTCTAGTAGAGAGCAGCCATCATTGTCACATAGTGACTTCTATAAAATAAGCTATAGTTTACAAATTAACTAGGATCCTTTCTTATAGCCACCTTCTCAAGGGGAGTTTTCCCCCATTTTCTTTCTCTGAATGTTATCAGAAGATTTGGCTTTGGTCCAGCTACTCGAAGTGTCATGAGAACTGTAACATTTATATTTCGTTTTTAGTATAGTATGTGCTCAAAGTGTAGTACTCCATAATATGGTACTTATTTAAATGAATCACTCATGTTACTCACTCCCCACCTTCTTCTTTTTATTTTTTTTTTCTTAAAACAGGATAGAGACTCTTAATGGAACAATGATTCTGAAAAGAACAGAGCTTGAAGCAAAGCTGCAGGTTTTAAAGGTAATTTAACTTAATGCAGCGAGACACATTTTTCATCCTTGAATGTGTGAGTGGTAAAATAAAGATCTATTTGAGGAACTGAGATAGCCCTTGAAGAAGAAATGTCTTGATGAATCTAAACTGCTGAATTATCAAGAGCCACACAATTACCTTCGGAGGAATATCAAATTCTGCAAACCAGTGTAAATCACTTTCTTCCTTCCTCCTTCTGTGTGTCTACGAGGCTCAGAAAGGCAACAGGAAGGCACGCCACTTGAAGAACTCTTCATTAGTGCACCTGTGATCTCTGTTGATTTACATTTTGTTTGGAATTAAGACGAAAAAGGTCATTATTTTCCCAAGTGTGTTGGAGGGCCTGGGTTTTTCACTTTTTCCATGTCCTCTTTTGGAGTCCTTCTCTTCTGCCTCATTCTTAAAACAAAAACCTTGTCCGTCCAATCCTGTGACTGTCCTTGAATCTGCTTTCAATGGCAAATACATTAGCAACTTCAAAGGAGGAAGAAATTAGCGTCCAAGAGATAGTAAATAATGCAGGATGTTTAGTGAAAATTCTCTGGGATGGCTTTTTGAGGCTTTTAAAAATCTCAGTTCTCTGGGCTGATGAGGGTCTCCTAAGCCATGAAGTCCAGACCCTCACTCATGCATCTGAGTTATAGTTCGGAAGACCTCTCTGTTTGTCTCAGTGACCTCTGCATCCCAATCTCCCCCTTGCAGAGTGACGAGGTAGCCAATCTGAGCAGAGACTGTAGTTTACTATAGGCAGCTTGCTTACTTCGTCTTTATTTAGCAACAGCTGAAATTTATTAGTTTTCTTCATGAAATATGAGCTTATTAATTATTGAGCCCAAGAGAGTGGATTTTATTTTGTATCTTTTTCTTCCTCCACATCCAATTCATCAACAAGTCTTGCTTTCTTCGTCAGCATTGTTTTGGATACTCTTGCCACTGTGCTTATTTCTGTGGTTTGTTGAATCAATTTATAAAATTCCTTGAAAAAACCTCTGCTCAAATTTTGATAGGAATTGAATTGTATTCATAAAATAAATGAGAGCAATTAAAATCTTTATGGCTTTCACTTTTCTCACTTTGAATTCAGGATCTCAATCTGTTTATTCAGATCTTTCATGGACTCCAAAAATATTTTGTAATTATCTTCCTATATTTTTACATGTATTTTATTATATTCATTCTTGTTTACTTCCTTGTTGTTCTTGCTATATTAATCTTTTAAATTTTCAGCCACTTATTGCTAATGATTTTGTTGAAATTTTTAAAAATCCAGTTGTGTTGAACTCCCTTTATTCTAATAATATTTCTTATAGATTTCCTTATATGTTCCATATAGGTTTCTTATCATTGCAGATAGTAAAATTTTGTGCCCCTTTAGCTCAATTATTGAAACTAATTTATTTTTCCTCTCCTATAGCATTGGCTAGGATCATCAATATATTGTAAATAATGATAATCTTATTGTTGACTTGAAAGAAAACATTTCTAAGATTTTTGTTACTACATTTTTATGAGTAGTAAACAATGCTTCATATTGTACTTGAATTTAAAGTTAATTTGTTTTTGCAAAAGATAGATAATCTTAGTGAACATCTTTTTTAAAAAGTTTAATTTTTTTCACCTTTTCTTAGAAAAAAGAAATATTGAAAACAAGAATGAAAAATAGGGTTATATTCTATGGAATAAAGTACTAACTTGCACAAATCATTATTTCCTTCCTTTAAGCAATTTCTATTCTTTGCATGTTTTTGTCTTAAGTTTTAATGTACATACTTACCAATATATGAATTTTTCAGTATCTCCATCCTCTTCCAGAACATCATGAGCACCATACAATGTTTAAAATGCCCATTTAAGACCCTATATTCCTTATTATACTTACTTTAGAGAATTTGTATCAATTTTTTAAAGTACAAAATACAGATTTTTGTTCTATAGCTGGTAGTGAAGAAATACATCAACTTGTACCTTTTGAATGTTTGCTGCTGTTTGTTGCATTCTACTCCTTACCTCTAGGTTTACTTTCTGTCTTGCTATAGTACTTCCTTCTGTGGGGGTAAGTAGATTTTTGTTGAAAAATGTTTTTATTTCACTGCTACTATTGGAAGACAGTTTTGATAGGTAATTGAATTATTCTAAGTAGGTGTTTAATTCCCTTAGCACTTTGAATATATTACTCCTTTAATTTTTTTTTTTTATGAGAGAGCTCCTAATTATTTTTGGCAGGTAATCTATATTTTCTGCTAAAGGTTTTAACGTCCTTAATTCATCCAGAATAAAATTGTATATATTATGAGGTATGGGGAAAATTCCAATTTAATTTTTTTCCATATGAATAACCAGTTCTTCCAGTAGCATTTATTTTGTAGTCCCCCTTTCCCCTTCAACTGACTTGCAGTAAAACCTCTATTTTTAAGCAAGTTCCACATATGCATGGATTTGCTGATAGGCTTTCTAATATGATCCACGGGTCAATTTGTTTATCCCAAATTGTTTATAATAAATCTTGATATCACATTGGGCACAGTTATTCTTGGTCCTTTGATCATCTATATAAATTATAAAAGCAGATTATATGTAAATAAATGTTGGTGTTTTGATTGATATCACATTTTATTTGTCTATTTTTGGAGACAGGGTCTCGCTCTATTCCCCTTGCTGGAGTGCAGCAACGTGGTCATAGCTTACTATAGTCTCAAACTCTGGGCTCAAGCAATTCTCCTATCTCAGTCTCCTGAATTGCTGGGATTACAGGCCTGAGCCACCATTCCTGGCTCTGATCACACTATAAAAAATATATATATATAAAATAATTATATATACAATATAATTATATATATTATATATTAATTTGAGGAAGCAACATCATATGGTATTAGGTTTTTTATGGATAGATGATCTTACCATTTTTTGTTGTTTTCTTGAAAGTCTTTCAATAAGGTTATAATTTTATGGACATAGGTCTTATACATCTTCTGTTAGACTTAGTCCTCTGTACCTAATGTTTTTTGTTCTTATTATCACTTCTTTAGAAAAACTAGTTTTGATTGATGTTAATAGACATGTGAAATTAATTTTTCTATGCTGTTACTATATTCAAACACTTTGCTAAATTATAGAATAGTAATATCTATTTTAATAACTCTAATGAATTATCTGTAGATTATTTTGGACTTACTGTAGCGATAATAACTATCTGTTAGGAATGAGTTTTGGTTCTTTTTCTTACCTTACTTCACAGCTTAGGAGCTACCACAGAACAATGAATAGAAACCATAGTTGTAGGCATCCTTGTTTTATTCTTGATTTTAAAGAAAATTCTTCCTAATTTCTTTTCTATTAGGAATGAGCTATCTTTCAGAGTAAGGAGACTCCCTTCTATACGAAGTTTGCTGGTAGTGTTTATAGTGCTTGTGCATTAACTTTTATTAAATACTTTTTTCTGCATCTGTTAAGCTGGTCTTCTCATTTATTCATTTGAAAAAATTCTGTCAATATGTGAATGAAATTCAAATATATTCTAGTATAAAGCTACCATTTCATTTCTAGGATAAACCCAACCTGGCTTATCCTTGAAATTTATAATTTGTAAATGTAATTACAGATTTGATTCGCTAATATTTTATTTAGGATTTTGAAAGATAGTCTCATTTTTCAGGTAGACTGGCCTGTAATTTTCTTTTCTTAGATTGTCTTTTTAAGTTTTGGTATCAAGTTTACTAGACTCTTAGCATGACCTGTTTTCCAGTTCTTATTTTCTGGCAGAATTTTAATAATACCATCTGAATCATCTTGGTTTAGGATTCTTTTTTGATGGGAATACTGTTAATGAACTGTTTCAATTTCTTTATTAGTTGAGAGACTACTCAGGACTTCTGTTTTTTTTTTTTTTTTAAAGCCAGTTTTAGTGACTTATACTTTTGTTAACAAAGTTTTTAAACTTGTTAACTGAGTTGATGGTAAAATATTATTCTGATGTTTCAAATTTTTGTCAAAAATTGTTTGAGTGTACCCCATTTTTTTCTTGCATCTTGTACCACTTTTTATGCTTCTTTTTTTTTCTTGATACTTTTCTCTACAGAATTTTCTATTTTTGGATCTTCTAGAAAACCAATATTTGTGGACATCTTTAAACCTTTTTCTGGTTGCTTTAAGATATTCTTTTGTCCTTATTGATCTATGGTTTTACTACAATGTAATTAGTTCTGGATTCATTTCTAAATTTATACTATGTAGAACTTATAGTGCTCTTTCTGCTCAAAGACTTTCTTTAGCTTTGGAAAACTATCAACTCAATCTTTTTGGAATATACCTTCTATACCACTCCTGTATTACCTTGTGGAATTCATATTAGACATAGTTTCTTGATTTATCTTTCATGCTTCCTAATGACTATTTCATAGGTCTTTATTTATATTTTTGTGTTACATTATTTCTGAATTCTTTAGTAACATCTCCAGAAATGTTCTTGCTAGCTGTTCTGTGTAGAATGTGTTCTTTCTATTGAGTTATAAAAATTACTTTGTTATTATCTCGTAGTTCTTTTTCATGTCTATCTGTTCTTGTTTTTTTCATTCCAAAGTTCTTGTTCTTATAAACATTGATCTCTCAGAGGATTAGAAACATTCTTATTTTAAAGTCTTTTTTGGACACTTTTCTTTTTTTTTCTGAGACAGAGTTTTGCCCTTGTCACCTAGGCTGGAGTGCAGTGGCATGATCTTGGCTCACTGCAACCTCCACCTCCCAGGTTCAAGGGATTCTCCTGCCTTAGCCTCCGGAGTAGCTGGAATTATAGGCGCCCGCCACACCTGGCTAATTTTTTGTATTTTTAGTAGAGACAGGATTTTTGTCACGTTGGGCAGGCGGGTCGCGAACTCCTGCCCTCAGGTGATCTGCTTGCCTAGGCATCCCAAAGTGCTGGGATTACAGGCATGAGCCACCACACCAGGCCTTGAACACTTTTCTGTTTTCATTTGATTTAGAGAATCCATGTACAAATTATCAGTTTTAAAATCTTTTTTATCATTAAATATCTGTGAGTGTTTGGGGATTTAGATTGCCTACTTCCCTTGCATGGCATATAGCCTCTCCCTTCAGCACAAAGTGATAATTGGATGCTTGCCCCCACTCAGCATTTCAAGGCTACCAATCCAGAGCCAGGTCTGGGGGCTTACATGCCTTCCCTGGAGACTCAGTGAGCTGTTTGGCTCAAGCTGTGAGGCTGTGCTTAGGTACTCCTGCCTTTCTTCATACAAGCTCTACATGAGCCATAGCCAGCAGCATCAGCTTTTCTCAGCCTCCTTTCCCAGTGATGGAGCTTCAGCCAATGTTTTTTTCTTAAGCAGAAAACCTGGCTCCGACCTGTGTTTCAGATAGGTGCATTTAAACCATGTATCGCCAAAAAATTTCTTTCTGTTTGTCTGTGTCCAGAAGACTTTAAGTTTCATTCTGCTTTCTATCTTGCATGTCTGTCCTGTTTCTAATCTTGAAATTATGAGATTCCGTTTATCTCTTGAGCCAGAAATGTCTTGGTTGACCCATAGCCAAAGTCAGGCTGGTTTCCCCTCCACACAATGACATTTACTTTGTGCGTCCTGTGTAAGTGAGCATTCTTTCCCTCAAAGACTCTTCTTGGGGCCAGGGGCTCTTCTTTAGAAACAGTGGTCCTTTCTGATCCACATTTTCAGGGATTCCCTTTCTTCTGACCTATGATTCAAATGTTTAACATGAAAACAGCACATCCAATGGGCTAGCTGGGCGAGCTAGTTTGTAATCTACTTCTGCTATTTACTGGGTGTGTAGTGCCTGGGAAATATTTTGTTACACTGAATATTCATTTTTGAATGTTACTTTTTAGGGAAGTTATGAAAATTAAATATCATGTTATCAGTGAAAATGCAACTGAAGTACTAAAGTGCCATGGAAATGTTCAGCTGTATTTCAATCCTGTAGATTGAAAGCATTGCAAACTTCTTTGGAACCAATGTGTGACAGCTGACAGTTGTTTTAGGAAGCCATTTTTTTCATGTATTCATTCAACCGTTATTTACTGAGCAGCTGCTATGTAGCTGGCACTCAACTGGGCACAGTGAGGTGATGCTGCCCAGCAGGGTTAGATCTCACTTGTGCTTTAATTCTCATCTAATGAGAGCTCAGATATGTCCAAATATACAATTGTGATGTCAGTAATACAGGCAGAAACAGACCCAAAGAAAAACAGGGAAGCTTGGTTACAGTTGAAAAACCCTTAGTCACTCTGACACATCTGCTCTTTACACTGGTATTTTCTTGGTTTAAGTGACGACAAACTGAAATGACTGGGCCAAATCAACAAATCAGATATTGCAATACCAGTATTTTTCCAAAAATTGACTATATGGCCAGTGCTGACTTTGTATTTTTAGATAGTAAGTGCAGAAATGTAACTTCCTCTTCTTTCTGTCTCTAGTTTTTACTGACCTATCCCTATGCTCCTCCACTGAACTCTAGTCTCCTGTAGGAAATAAATCTCTTTAAGAAAGATGAAAGGGTTTGGTATGTATGCCAGGTACTTGTTGCCTTATAGTCCCTATGTCCCTAATTTTGACCTTTGTATAACCACAGATTTACATAGTTAAAAGCTGGGAATAAGACAGCATAGCAGTCCTTTTTTTTTTTTTGGAGGCAGGGTCTCACCCTATTGCCCATGCTGGAGTGCAGTGGCATGATCACAACTCACTGCAGCCTCAACCTCCCGGGCTTAAGTGATCCTTCTACATCAGTCTCTTTTTTAAAAAATTAATTGATTAATTAATTATTTTTGAGATGGAGTTTTGCTCTTGTTGCCCAGGGTGGAGTATAATTGCGCCATCTCAGTTCACCACAACCTCTGCCTCCTGGGTTCAAACGATTATCTTGCCTCAACCTCCCGAGTACCTGAGACTACAGGTGCCTGCTACCACACCCATCTTATTTTTGTATTTTAAGTAGAGATGGGGTATCGCCATTTTGACCAGTCTGGTTTCCAACTCCTGACCGCAGGCAATCCACCAGCCTCAGCCTCCCAAAGTGATGGGATTACAGGTGTGAGCCACCGTGCCCAGCTTCCTCAGCCTCTTAAGAACTGGTGTGCACCACCATACCCAGCTAATTTAAAAAAGAATTTTGTAGAGATAAGGTCTCACTATGTTGCCCAGGCTTGTTTCAAACTCCTGGTCTCAAGCAGTCCTCCCACTTCAACCTCCTAAAGTGCTGAGATTACAGTTGTCAGCCACTGCCCTCAGCCCTCAAAGCAGTATTATAGCTATTCTAGACTATATTATGGTACAGAAAGAACAAGAAGTTGACTGAGTCAAGCATTTGATTGATTTATTGCTCGATTTTATATTGGCAACGATAAGGGTTGCTGTTAAATGTTACTAGTATCAAGGTTTAGAAAATTCTGCCCAGTTATTGTTCAATCTTTGAAGACTGAGGAATAAGCCATGTTCCCCTCAAGCATTTAATGATGTTCTTGCAATTTTATTATTTTCTTTCCCTTAATCCTTCCCTAAATATACATTTTTTTCCTCTTCCTTTTTAGCCTTCATCTACTCCTTGCAGATTGCTTTGTGGGAAGGACTGCTTGTTTCAACTAGGCTGTCTTTCCTTTGGCATAAGAGTCCACAGGCAAACCTGAGCTGTGCCCACTTGCTGGGCTCGCTATAGGGACCTGAACTGGCAAAGGAAGGGGAAGAGGAGAGGATAAAGAATGGGAGAGAGTGAGCCTATAGCTGTGTTTTTTTCAGATGCCTTCTGCCTGGTTTGTTTTACATTGCCATTGCCTCAGTCCCCTCTGTGGGATAGGCCAGGACTTGTGTGCTGTCTTGACCCATGTGGCAGCTACTTAGTTTCCACTGTGGGCCTCAGCTCTCCTGTGCTGGGGCAGCCAAGAAGGGAAGCAGTTAAGAAGTTAGGGTACTTAGCAGTGTTCTAAGTTTAGCCCACTAAGGAAGCATTTCAGACAGTTCTGTTCTCTTTTTTGGTGTGGAAAATAAATAGCTGTCCAAGCCAGGTGTGGTGGCTCACGCCTGTAATCCCAGCACTTTGGGAGGCCGAGGTGGGCAGATCATGAGGTCAGGAGTTCGAGAATAGCCTGGCCAGCATGGTGAAACCCCATGTCTACTAAAATTACAAAAATTTGGCTGGGCATGGTGGGGCGCAACTGTAATCCCAGCTACTTGGGAGGATGAGGCAGAAGAATCGCTTGAACCTGGGAGGTGGAGGTCTTCAGGCTTGTATGTTGATGATGATATTTGTAGAGCGTTAACTAAGTTCTAGTCACTGTTCTAAAAATTGTACATCTATTCACTCATCTAATCCTTATAACATTTCCAGGGTTTAGGCTCTATTATTGTCTTCATCCTACAGATATGGGAATCCTGGAGTATAAATGCTTGCCTAAACAGCAAGTACATTTTCACAGACGCAAATAATCTTTTTAAAATAATTTTTTAAATAAAAATATATTTTATTGTTTTTTTTCAAAGAAAGCTTGTTGGCCCAATATCCTCCTTTTATACAGCAAAAATATTTTAAATGGATGAGATGGATTGGTAGTACTAGAAAGAAAGGTAAAAAATTTTAATGACAAATCTCAACACCTAGAATTAAATTGCTAGCTTCACTGGGGTTTCCTAATAATAAAAACTTTTTTTTTTAATCTCACAGCAAACTTTGAAACAAAAATGGGTGGAGTACAGATCTCTGCAGTTACAGGAACATCGTCTGCTTCATGGTAAATGCAATTTCCTGTTCAGAAACCACACTAACATTACTTCTTTCAGTATTTCTGCCTCTAAGTTGTTTTAAGATTATCATCATTATAAGAAAAATTTGACTAGTGCTGGTCAAAGAAACGGGTCTGTGTTTCTTTGGCATGAGCTTTGGAGTGGCTGTATTTGGAAGAGGCTCAAGGCAAGTCAGATCCACTACTCTATACACACACACACACACACACACACACACACACACACAACGCAGATGCGCATGCGCACATGCACACTGATGCACACGCTCAGAAACAGGCATCTGGAGATTTTAGAAGATCATTGGGGAAGATTGCCTGACTTTCCTTCTACTTCAGTGAATGAATTACGTTTCTGAAAAAATCGTGGCTCGGGGCTGTATAGTTTCTAGAAGCTATTAAATGGAATGGTTGCACACTTATTGGGTAGAGCTCCTGTCTTTTGTTTAAATTGCATAAGTTGCGTTTATTCAGAGAATTTCTTTTTCATGGCCCCCAAGACCAAGACAGAAATGTGTAAGATTATTACAACAGTAAATGCATGGCTCTTGCCATTGAGTGCATTTTTAGGGGAAGGGTTGAATTTAAAATGTGTTAATTTGTTATTTGCTGTGTGACAGATGTAACCAAAGGAATGAACTTTTGTGTGCAAATAATTCACTGAAACCACTATGTGGGTGCGAAATATAGGTTATCTCTTCTTTGAATAGCACCAGCTTAAGTCTCTAACCTAGAATATTCATTAAAAGTGATAATCAATTTGTTTACCAAAAAGATAACAATTTAATCCTTAACTAGTCACTAATTTATGGCTTAGATTTCTGATATAAAGTTCTGTGTTTTTTTATTGAAGTGTTTGAAACTTATGAACAAGTTACTTCTCTTTTTTATATTTTCATTTAATATTTTTAAAAAATTCATAATAGCTTTATTGGGTAGTGAAGTTTGTTAGAGAGGCAGAAGTATTTAATACAAAAACTTCTTTATGGCCTTGTAAATTCAGCCACCTCCTTGCTTTCTTTAGATGTGAGGGCTTTTTAGCCTCATTTCCACTTCTGGAGCATCCTGAATGGCCCGGTGAATATAAATTCTTGCTGTTCTATAGGAACGGCCTTGTATTATAGACAACATTGTTAGGTCAGGGTCCTCATAAAGGCATTATTGTATACATTTTTTTGAGCAATTGAGGGAGTTCTGCTTTTTCTAGATGCATAGTAAACATCCAGGGCATGTGATTCTATAAGGCAATTGCTCTCAAATCAAAAGAAATTCATCACTTATTGCAAGATGAAATGAAGTAGGTTGTATTAGCAAAAAGGAAAGCATTATGACCAGTCACTGTGGGGCTGGTTGTACTCAACCTTGCAAATCATCTGAAAAAAGTTTCTTTTTATATTATCAACCAAGGACAAAAGAGAGCAGCAGTAAAGATAATCAGTACAAAATAAAACCATTTTGGAGTGTGCAGTATTCTATTATTTTTTTCTGAAGCAGAGTCACTTACTGATTATGTTTTTCCAAGGCTGGTATTACAAGTTCTCTCTCTCTCTCTCTCTTTCTCTCTCTCTCTCTCTCTCTCTCGATACCAACCAACTCAGTTAGTGTGGAAGCAGGGAGGGTCGTATGGACAGGGTATTGGTATGTGATTAACATTCTAGTTTGAAGAGCCAGATGTACGTTGTGAAGGATCAATGAAAAAAATTTAGCCAAGCAGATAAAATTCAATTTCTTCAAATAAATTATTACTTACTTGAGGACAAGGATGCTTTCTGGGTACAGTATCATTCCAGAGAATTTAAGTATTCCAAAATGAAACTTAGAATATTGAGGTTGGAAGATACATTTGATTTCACAAATCCTTTCTCTAAGAAACACTTATGAATTATCTGTTCCATAATTTTTTCTATATACCTCAAATGATTTTATAATAATTTTAGAATTATTTTCAAAAGACAGTACCTAACAATCAGAGAAACTAAATGGAGAAAATCATGATAGCATTTCCCAGGTGTATTCTATGGAACCCCATTTCTGTGAGAATTATAATAAAAGGTTTCAGGGTTATTTAAATTGAAGAAATGATCATTTTGGAGATTCAGATGTCACACTGGTAGACTGTCAGTTGGGTTGAACTGTTCTCATATGAAACATCTTGTTTAATTTATTCTAATATTATAATTTTTGTGACCATGGAACCTTGGTCTATGAACAATAGTTCAGGAAACCCTACTATACGGTTTATCAAATGGCCTCATAAACAGTTACTTATTCATGCACGCCAAAGCTCAGTGAAAAGTATTTTTCACACTTACTCTTTCTTGTGTCATTCAAAGAGAAGTTTTGATGCAGCGTATTTATTTGTAGGAAATGATAAACAGGTCCATTTCACAGTAGACTTTGTTCTCTGTGCTCTAGGTGATGCAGCTAACTGCCCCAGTTTGGAAAACATGGACTTGGATGAATTGTCTTTGTTTGGACCCCTGCCTGGGCCAGGCCCAGCCCTCGTGGACCGGAATCGATTATCCAGTGAGAGCAGCTGTAAGAGCTGGCTGAGCTCCATGACTATGGACAGTGAAGATGGCTACCAGACATGTGTGTCTGAGGACTCCAGCAGGGGTGCCTTCAGTCGGCAGACGAGCACAGATGATGAATGCTTTATCCCCAAGGAGGGGGATGATTTTCTGAGGAGGTCATCTTCAAGGAGGAACCGGAGCATCAGTAACACCAGCAGCGGATCCATGTCTCCCTTGTGGGAGGGCAACTTCTCAAGCGCGTTTGGGACCCTGCCCCGGAAGAGCAGAAAGGGAAGTGTCCGAAAGCAACTCTTGAAATTTATCCCTGGCCTTCATCGTGCTGTGGAAGAGGAAGAAAGTCGCTTTTGACGGATTGTGGTGTCCTTTCAAATTGGCTTATTTCACAAATATCTCTAGACTCACCCACATCCCAGCTTGGTGGGAAAGTGCAGAAGAATTGCAAAACTGACATCCCATTTCACAGCAATAGTGACCTTTATTTAAATTGTTGTGTCATAGTTTTTGCTTCTTACATCATTTTTCAACCTGAACAGCTCAATTTCTAAGCAGACAGGGAAACTAAACAATAAGTTAATTAATATAACAAACATGAAAGTGCCTGCTCATTCCAGTACTGTCTTTGAAAGCAAAACTAATATTTATTTTCTAGATTATCCCTGTGAATAATTGATAACTTTTGGAGTCAAGTATGAATAAACGTTTGGCAGAATATAATAATCTGCACTGTTTTCTATAGGATAATTGGTGAGTTATAAAATCTTAGGTTTGCTTATGCCCAGTGGCTTCTGGGGAGGCTTAATAATAGGCAGTTTTGAATTTGTTCAAACCTGTAATGACTTGTAAACAAAGATGACCATCAACCCTTTCTCACATCTATAGTGACAATAAAGCGGGAAGTATAAGATTTAATAGGAGGGGTTAAGGTTCATGAGAACCATGGAAAGATGTGGTCTGAGATGGGTGCTGCGAAGATCATAATAAAGTCTTTTTTATAGTCAGTCTAAACAAAATGGGTGGGGATGTCATGTTTTTTGCCTGATTCAACTTTTGTTCTGCTTAAACATTAATGGCAAATCTAGAACTCTTCGAATCCTACAACTTTGCAATTTTTTTTTCTACAAATGTCTAACATCCAAAACGTGAGAGTTGGGAAAAGGACTTTGCTCCTGTAGATTTTTTCATATTACTTCTCTATATCATATATTCTAAATAGCTATCACTTCAGCAGTCTTTTGCCTATTGGTTATGTTAGTATCACATTACTTCTAGCCTTTCAATTACTCCATGTTTTATTTAATATCCATTAAAGTCTATGAATTCTCTGTTCTGGTGGCACAGCTGTTCATTACCTATATTCTAGAGTAGACAATCTGGACTATGTAATAAATAGTCTGCTGATTTTAAGTTCTCTCTCTCTCTCTCTCTCTCTCTGCATGTGTGTGTGCGTGTGTGTGTGTTTGGGAGAAACAGAAACACTTCACTTTAAGTAGAACTGCTAAATTTAAGTAAACTTCTGATTAAGAAATGAGTTATTTTGAGAAAACAGAGGGTAGGGTAAGGAAGCATGTAGGATAACAAGTATAAAAAGATTTCTAGGCCGGGCGTGGTGGCTAACGCCTGTAATCCCAGCACTTCGGGAGGCTGAGACAGGTGAATCACGAGGTCAGGAGATAGAGTTCATCCTGGCTAACACGGTGAAATGGTGAAACCCCGTCTCTACTAAAAATACAAAAAAGTTAGCCGGGCGCGGTGGCGGGCGCCTGTAGTCCCAGCTACTCGGGAGGCTGAGGCAGGAGAATGGCGTGAACCCGGGAGGTGGAGCTTGCAGTGAGCCAAGATCGAGCCGCTGCACTCCGGCCTGGGCGACAGAGAGAGACTCCGTCTCAAAAAAAAAAAAAAAAGATTTCTCGTTGGGACTTGCCTTCTATTAACTCTTTGAACTGAGAAACATCCGGTAGGCTGTGCATGCGGGTCACTCATATGAAAGGCAGAGTGTCACACCTTTCACAGAAACAATAGCAATCTTGTCTACCATTTACTGAATGCCTAGTTGGCTAAAGACACTTTACGTGTGATCCTCACAATTACTATATTGTAGGTGTTAGGCATACAGATAACAAGTCAGGAATTTGGAAATGTTCTCAGGGTCACAAGGCTAGTCAGTGCCAGGGTTTAAATTGGAAGTCAGTTCTTCCTTGCTCTAGTCTATTCTAGATATCATTTATTCTTTTGGTTCTGTTTAGTGATCATCACAGTACTTTTTATTCTACCCAACAGGAATACTTAAAATGTACAATTATAGATACTGCATAGATAAGTGTATTTCTTTGGGTAAATAGGAAAACAAACAAACATTTCTCTGTTCCTCATACAAAAGTTTCAGATATAGGTTCTTTAATAACTACATGATGAGCAATGTATTTATTTTCAACAAGAGCTTGCAAACCAGTTATGATTCAACAAGAGCTTGCAAACCAGTTATGATTCAACTGGTATTGCTCATTTCTCATCGTAGTCTAGAATCATCCTGCTAAAGGTCTACTTATACGAATTCAGCATTTCTTGTTATCCTATTTCACAAAGTCCAGGGAAAGGAAACACCACATTTATTTAAGGAAAGATGACTTTGAAATCTTCTACAAGGTGAGAAAATGCTTTGAGAACTACATGGAATGACATAGGTCATACGGTAAAGCAGACCATAGATCATTTGCTTTTCTTGTGACTTTAATACAGAAGTGTAATACTGCTGTATGACAGTAGACCTCAAACGCAAAAAAGGCAAGGAAGGGATGGAGCAAGCATCACTTTAGTTTGCGGTAAGAATTAGAGTCGAGGTATGTTCTGAGAATAAAGAAAAAAATACTGGTTAACCAAAGTACAGGAAGGAAGGGCATGTCATGTTCTATATTTCACAAGCTGTAAGAAAATTAGCTTTTGTTTAGTGGAAATGTGGGTAAATTTCTCACAGTATAGCTTTCAGACAAATGTATGACCTCAGTGGGGCTTTAGAAGAAACTTCTGGTGCATAGTGATTCACTCTGATATAATTTACTGGGAAAAAAATTGAAAAGTGTTTTTTTAACTTGTAAGTTCTCAAATATGTAATACTGGTGAATTCCATTAATTGACCACCTGTTATGAAAATGCATTTTTCTGGAAGGGCATTTGATAAACCAAATTTGAATCAAGTAGATTGGGAATTACTTAATCATGCGTCTGAAGAACACAACCATGACAACAGATTAGTAATATATTTTTGGAAGTGAACTTTTATTTATGACTTTCTACCTTGTAATAATTTTATATCTTAAGTGCATGATACAGATATCATTTAAAATCCCAGTTTGCACTTAAGAGATCAAACTTGGAAACAGTATGTGTGTATTAATCACCAAAGTACAGGCATTTTTGAATGTATACATACTAAAAATAGTACGTAATACACAACTACATTGAGCCCTTCAGATCATAAAAGTATTGTTATTTTATATCCATTTCCTTACATACCTATGGGCTACAAAATCAAAATTTGATGCCTTTATGAAATAAAGAATGCTAGTTTTCAGTGTCAGGACTTTCTCTCTCTTTCTCTGTCTCTCTCCCTACATTTCTCTCTACCATAAAGAAATAATTGTTTTAAAAAGCATATTTTTAAAAAATCCTGGGTGATTCTCGACATTTACTTCTTTGAGGACCTTAAAAGACACTACTTACTTAATTGAACTTTGCATGATTAGCTTTTGTATTGCTATTTAACAAATTACTGCCAGGCATGGTGGCTCACACCTGTAATCCCAGCATTTTGGGAGGCCGAGGCGGGTGGATCACCTGAGGTCAGGAGTTTGAGACCAGCCTGACCAAGATGATGAAACCCCATCTCTACTAAAAATACAAAAATTAACCGGGCATAGTGGTGCATGCTTGTAATCCCAGCTACTCCGGAGGTTGAGGCAGGAGAATTGCTTGAATCTGGGAGGCAGAGGTTGCAGTGAGCTGAGATCGCACCATTGTCCTCCAGCCTGGGCAACAAGAGCAAAACTCCACCTCAGAAAAATAAATAATAAAAAACCCCCACAAACTTAGAAGCCTAAAATATACTTATTTTCTCAAAGTTTCTGTGGGCAAGGAGTCTGGGCACAGATTAGCTGGATCTGCTCAGGATTTCACAAAGCTGCAGTTTAGGTGTTGTCCAGGGTTGGGTTGTTACCCGGAGGCTTGATTGGAGAAGGGTATGCCCTTAAGCTCCCCAGGTTGTTGTCAGAATCATTTCCTGGTGGCCATACAATTCATGGCAGCTTGCTTCTTCAAAGCTGGCAGTGAAGAGGAAAAATGGAGAGGCTGCAAACAAGACAGAGTCTTAAATAATACCATGTAATCGCCTTTGCCATGTAACATAACCTCTTAAGTGACTTCCCATCACCTTGCCTTATGATGTAACATTAAGATGGGAATAGCATCCTATCAACCGTACCATGTTTTGTTTGTAAAAACATGTCACAGGCCCACCCACACTCAAGAAGCAGGGATTACACAGTCATGAACATTAGGAGGTAAGGATCAGGGGACCACCCTAGTCTGTTTGTAACACCATTCAAGGAGTTCACAGACTTGATAACATATGGGTATTGAGCTGTCTCTAAATCTCCTTGAGTAAAAATTAGTGACTGTCATAATAATTTATATATAAAGAAATGGAAGCATTAGTGAATTTTGGAATGAAATAACCTGGTCAAGATTGTGTAACTAGCCAAAAAGTTGATGAAAGTTTCTGGCCTCCTAACTTTGTCTGCTAGGTACATTAAATGATAAAAGAAGATTTTAAAAGAATAAGAAAGAATGAACTAGTTACTTGCTTTCAATTTTTACTCGGGGAATCTGAATGCATTTAAGTGAATAGTGATTGGCATACTGAAGTTTGCCACTTCTAGGCAGGCACATCTTTATAAGCAGAGGATAGTAGGAACTTTTACACAGAAAAGTAAACAAAACACTTATTATCAAAACTACAAAGCACAAAAGGAAATGATCAGCCATGAGCAAAAGTTAGGAGATATCACAAAATTATTAGAACTTGAGGGGAAAAAAGAAGTTTGAAAGAATATAAAAAATGTGTATCTTAGGAATAAAGGATAACTTCCTCAGCTCGATAAAGAACATCTACAAAATGCCTGCAGGTAATATCATAATGGTGTGACACTGGACATTTTCCTTCTTTTTTCTTTTGATGGAATATCGCTCTGTCGTCCAGGCTGGAGTGTAGTTGTGCAATCTCAGCTCACTGCAAGCTCTGCCTCCCGGGTTCACGCCATTCTCCTGCCTCAGCCTCCTGAGTGGCTGGGACTACAGGTGCCCACCATCATGCCCGGCTAATTTTTTGTATTTTTAGTAGAGACGGGGTTTCACTGTGTTAGCCAGGATGGTCTCAATCTCCTGACTTCGTGATCCACCTGCCTTGGCCTCCCAAAGTGCTGGGATTACAGGCGTGAGCCACCGCACCCGGCCGACACTTTCCTTCTAAGATAGTTACAAAGCAAATATATTTTCTCTCACTTCTCCTTTCTATATTGTATGAAAATCTTAGCTAGTGAAATAAGGCAAGGAAAAGAAATAAAAGATACACAAGTTGGGAAGGAAGAAAAGAAACTGTCTTCATTTGACGATGATATGTCGTCTATGTGAAAAGTCTTAAATAACAGTGCAACAAAAAATCCTGGCACAACTAAGTGAGTATAGCAAGGTCATGGGATACAAGGTTAACATACAAAAGTCAATTGCTTTCCTACATATCAACAATGAACAACTGGAATTTGAAAGAGGAAAAACAATATGTTGACAGCATGCAAAAAATAAAATACTTAGATATAAATGTAACAAAATACTACAGGATCTCTATATGGTAAACTTAACCCTAAATAGAGAGTCAGTGGTCATGGATTGGAAGACTCCATAGTTTTACAACTCAGTTCTTCCCCACTTAATCTGTCGACTCAGTGTAATCTCAATCAAAATTCTAGCGAGCTATTTTTTAGACTCAACAAATTAATTCTAAAGTTTATATGGAAAGGCAAAAGACAATAATGGCCAAGAAAATACTGAAGAACAACAAAGTTGGAAGAATCACAATATCCTTTTAAAGACTTAATATAAAGTATTGTCATCATTACAGCATGGTATTGGCAAAAGAATAGACAGATAAATCAGTGGAACAGAACAGAGTGTCTAGAAATAGACACACACAAATATAGTAAATTATCTTTGACACAGAAGTAAAGTCAATTAAATGTAGAAAGGATAGTGTTTTCAACAAATGGTTCTGTCAAATATGCAAGCTCTTATACGTTTCACAAAAATTGACTCAAAATGGATCATAGACATAGGTATAAAACACAAAACTATAACAC